CCCCCCCGCTGTGACAAAAACAGCAACTTGCATAGTTGCATGACCCTGTTACTTTTATGTCCCAGCAAGTTTGTTCCTGTTAGGACCCAAGGTACATACTTCCTTCACTGAGCTCTGATCGATAATCCAATCGCCTGCCTGTTTCACTGAATGGCAGTGGGATGGCAGCGTGTGGATTTGAAATAATTTTTTTTCCTCACTTCCTTGGTAGGCGCAGTGTCTCTGGCAGGCACAGACTCTGGACTCTGGTCAGTCACAGGAGGCAACAGACGTGTCTGTGATGGTCTTCTTTCTGCTTCCAAAGCACAGCTTATCCCTAGCACTGTTACCTCAGTAGAGATGATAACACAGCCCAGGGCATCGGGTAAGACTTACTTGAGTTCTTTGGAGGAACAAGCTGTGAAGCTAGACATGCTCAAACACTGATATGCAGTTTAACACTCAAAGCTATACACATCTAGGTGTTTGTTGAGGTCACTGTTAACAAGGGAAACATGCCATTTCTGTAAACAAGCCCTCTTTTAATGCATCACATTGGTCACCCACCAAAAAAAAAAAATCACTAGTCAGTCTGAAAATGTTTTGGACCCTCCCCCCCCCCAACCCCCACCAATCACAACTTCTGCTCTGTTACCAAGTCTTCCTTTTTCTTAACTATTTTTCTAGGAGGAAAAACTCAACAGTATGAAATCTGCTACAATTCCACATCTGGGGTAGCCATCGCCCATTATGATATAGTTGTCATTGCCACACCACTGAATCATAAGATGTCCAATATTACGTTTTGGAACTTCAACCCACCCATTCCAGAGTTCTCCAGGCCTTACCATCAGACCATAGCAACTTTCATTCATGGGCAGATAAACACATCTTTCTTTGGATACCAGGACTCCTCCAGCTTCCACATAGATGGCATTTTCACAACAGACAATCCCAAGCTGTTCATCAACAGCATGGGGGTGGTATCTCCTGTCCAAAATGAACAGGACAAGTTGGAGCAATCTCTGGGATCGGCCGTCTGGAAAGTGTTCTCTAAAGAACCTCTCACTGAGGAGCAGATCAACGTGCTCTTCTCATCCTATGATTCAGTGAAAGCAAAGCAGTGGCTGGCCTACCCGCACTACAGTCCCCCCAAGAAATGCCCACCTTTCATCCTCCATGATCAAATGTACTACCTCAGTGGAATAGAATGTGCTGCCAGTGCAATGGAGATGAGTGCCATAGCAGCCAAAAACGTGGCACTTCTCGCTCATCACCGCTGGTACGGGAACACGGACAAGATTGACCAAGAAGGCCTACATGAGAAACTGAAAACCGAGTTTTGAGTTCCTCCCAGCTGCAACCCGAAACCAAGGCATCTAAGCTGTGCTGTCATGTCCATAGAAAGTTTATGGCTATTTTGAGCAAGTGGTGCACTATTAAAGATTTTCTTGGCCGATACAGATGGCCAATTATTAACCAGCCACATTGAATCTATTGGCCAATTGCTGATTTACGGGAAAGCAGCCTGGCAGCGTGGAGAACAGAGCCCTGCCTCTAAGTCTGGGGGGGGTGGCGGGGAGGAACATGGGGGAAGGAATGTGCATGAAGGAGGCAGATTGAGGCCCCCACAGTCAGGGAGGGAGTGAGGCAGGGACAGGTGCTGCCCAGCCAGGGCAACAAATGCAACCCTGGGAGTGGGACAGCCACTGGCGGCTCATCCGCAGAGGGCAGAGAGGTGGGCAGCTCCCCTTTCACTCAGCACACCCCTGGGGGAGTCATGGGGGCATGTGCCCCTCCAGATTTGTGCACAGGGCAAAGGCGGGTTGCCCACTGCTGGGTTGGGACCAGGGGCTGTGCCAGCCTCTTTTTGGCTCAGGGGCTGCACTCAGGGTGGGGGCAAGCACCAAGTGCTGGGTGGGGTGGCTATGGGGAATTTTGAGGTGACTGTAGTCTACCCCTACATACCCCTCCCAGCACTGCTACTACCCACCCTGAGCCAAGACCCCCTGCTGGGAAGAGGCTGACACAGCCTCTGGCCCCAAGCCCATAGTGGGCAGCCTGCCCTCAGCCCATGCACTAATCTGGAGCGGGGCACATGCCCCCCATGTCTCCCCTGGGGTGGGGTGCACACAGTGACAGGGAGCTGCTCCCCCCCACCCCTGAAAAGCCACCCACGGCTCTGTCCCGCTCCCAGGGTTGTATTCACTGCCCTGGCTGGGCAGCACCTGTCCCTGCCCTTGCCCCACTCCCTCTCTCACTGTGGGGGCCTTAGTCTGTCACCCCCCACTTAGTCCTGGCCCCATGCATGCTACAATATTTTTCAGTGAAAACTAAGGCACTTAGGCTATGGCATTTATCAGTGACATTATTGGCTACACTGGCCAAATCAACACTAATCCAATATGTCACTGATATATCAATACATTTCTACTTTTAACCACTTTAAGTGACTATATAAGAATTTTTTTCCTTCTCTAACTTGATATAGTAATCAGATCAATTACTTGGAACAAGAAGTAACTTCCATGTAACAACTAGCACTGAAACTGAGGGGATGGCAGAAAGGAAGAATCAGATGGTGAATGAGGCTTAAATGAAGATGAAACCGACCTCTCCATTCTGTCTTCACCAGCAATTCAAGCAAGTGCCAAACTTCCGTCCATATTTGCTGAATGATTGCCTGAAATATCTCAAGTCCAATCTATATGTAAAGAACCTGTCACCAAGGAGCAAATCATGTTATTCTTATCCCACAATTCAGTGAAAGCAAAGCAGTGGCTGGTCTACCTGCACTACAGTCCCCCTGAGAAATGCCTGCCTGTCATCCTCCATGATTGAATGTACTACCTCAGTGGAATACAATGGGCTGCCAGTGCAATGGAGATGAGTGCCACAGCAACCAAAAACGTGGTGCTCCTCGCTAATCATTACTGGTATGGGAACGTGGACAAGATCAACCAAGAAGGCTTAAGTAAGAAACTGAAATCCAAGCTTCAAGTTCCTTCCAGATGTAAGCTGAAAACCAAGGCATCTAAGCTGCTCTCTCATATCCAGGGAAAGTTTATGGCTATATCAAGCACTGATGCATTTCTTTTAACCACATTAAATGACTACACAGGGAAGTCTTTTTTCCTTCTCTAATTTGACACAGTAGTCAAGAGGCACTACTTGGAACAACACTTTAGGGGAACACCCCCCAAGAAGGACTCCAGCACAGCCCCCACAACCCTCCCGGGGATGATGACAGGAGCCAGGTCATGCCACCTGGGACAGGCAGCAGCAGTGATCTTCCCGGCGCCGATTCCAGGCAGCAGCACCCAGCTCCTCTCATCCGGCAGGCAAATTCAGGGGCTCTCCTGCATCCCCAGGAGGGCTGCAGGGGCTGTGCTGGAGCACTCCCAGGACTGCAGGCCCCCGATCTGCCTGCCAGGTGACAGACTGGCGCTGGGTGCAACCCGCACCCAGCACCAGAAAGATCGTTGCTGTCATTGGCCCCAGGCAGCAGCACGCAACTCCTGTCATCCTGTGCACAGATCAGGGGCACAACCCCTGCAGCCCTCCCAGGGGTGCCAGCAGGCCCCCAAACTGCCTGCCAGCTGACAGGAGCCACGTGCTACTGCCTGGGGCCAGTGGCAGCCAAGGCCGTCCCTGGCGCAGTGGGGGTAGTGACCACCCCGGGCCCTACTCTTTGGGAGGCCCCACAGAGCCAGGCGGAGTGGCTGTGGCGACTGCACCGCTGCTGCCGCCAGCTTTGCATCTGAGTGCTCGCTACCCCCTTCCGCCACACAAATCGGGGGCCTGCCAGCACCCCCGGGAGGGCTGCGGGGATGTGCCGGTGTCCTCCCGGGGCTACGTGTCCCCAGTCAGCACGCAGGATGACAGGACTCGCATACTGCTGCCTGGGGCCAGTGGCAGCAGCAATTTTCCCGGCACTGCGTGCACGTTACACCCAGCACCAGTCTGTCACCTAGCTGGTGATTGGGGGCCCACAGCCCTGGGAGGACTCCGGCACAGCCCCTGCAGCCCTTTTGGGGTTGTGGGTGAGCCCCCGATCTGCCTGCCAGATGAGAGGAGTGGGTGCTGCCACCTGGGATCAGCGGCACCAGTCTTCCCAGCACTGGTCCCTGGCAACAACATCTGGCTTCTCTCATCTGGCAGGCAGATTGGGGGCCCGCACTCTGGGGAGGACTCCAGCACAGACCCTGCAGCTCTCCTAGGGGTACAGGTGAGCCCCCACTCTGCCTGCCAGATGACAGGAAGCGGTGCTGTCAGCTGGGACTGGCACAGAAGCCAGTAAGCCTGGCTTTGAAATTTGAAATGTTACAAAAGTTTTGAAACGTTTTGAGTTTCCTTGTTTTGTTTCAAAGCTGTTTCAAAGGCTATTGTTTCATTTCGATTTTGCAGTTTGGAACTTGAAACGCTTCGAAACAAAATGCCGGGCAAAATTTTGCACCGCCCTATTAACAAAGAATATATAGGTTTGAATAATGAATAACTGATTCAGGTGAGTCACTGAAAAAATAATGAGCTAAACTACTGTTGCTACTTAGACCAAAACTGACATCCAGGGTAGAAGACTAACACTGGTTTCCACAGGTAAAATGATGTGGCCTCCATCAAAGAGCAGCCAGAAATATTCTTTTACTACGAGGGCTACTTGGTACTGGGCAAATCTACACATCACCGTACAGCTTTAGTACTTCCTTTTGGGAATACGAAAAGGTGGCACAGTAACTGCCCGTACTGCACTGTACAGGCAGCACACGCTTTGATTTTCTTGCTATCTCATAATAGCAGCACACTAAAAATGGGGAGTATGTTGTTATAGCAACAAAGCTAGGGATCACGTGTAGACCCGCGTAATTGCTATGTTGCTGTATTGTGCCATACGGCAGAATAGCGCATTGCTACGTTGCTGTAGGTCGACGGGCAGACAAGCCCAGTTACTTATTGGTATTTAATTGTGGACAGCTTTAGAGACTTCATTTACTGAACACTGTAAAATAAGTAATTGCATTCTGATTTGCTTCCCAACAGGTTTCTCAGTGTTTGTGTCAAGTATGGTTTTAGTGGTCTGGTTGTTTAAAAAACAAAAAACAATCCCCACCAAATCCAGTTATTTTAGTCATAATAAGCTGAACTCTCTATACACTATTAATCAAAAGTCACTGTGAATTTGTATTACTGAATTTACTTGCAACTGTAAATACCAGTATAATAGTAATTAAAGGTACATAAAAAGGTCCATGTGATTTACTGTTTTTATACTAGCTGTAGCTTCAGAAAAAACCTGAGGTGGATGGAACTGAAAAAAAATTATTCTGTGCCTTAGGTTGCCCTGTGATCAAGTGGCATCGTTATGGATTCATTTTACACTAAGTCGGGGCAGGTAAAATACAGCGTGCGAGCCGGATTCAGCCCGCCAAGCCATTCTATCTGGCCCACAGGGCCCCTAAAAAATTTAGAAAATTAATATTTATCTGCCCCTGGCTGCCTGTCAAAACTGACAAAAGCCAGTAGAACCTGGAGGGAGCCTCAGCAGGATTGAACAACCCAGCCCTGTGGACCCCCAGCCATTTCACTCCCTTCTTGCCCCCGCCCTGCTCCAGCACCACGTGGCTGCCAGCTGCATTGCTGTACTGGGAGCATGGGGCCCCACTGATACAGGGGGGTGGGGGAGGTGCAGGCAGGGAGAGCGTGTGCGCGCGCACACACAGGCAGGGAGAGTGTGTGCGCGCACGCAGGCAGGGACAGCGTGTGCGCGCACACAGGCAGGAATGGTGTGTGTGCATGTGTTTGTGTGTGCATGCACGCAGGCAGGGCCAGTGTACGCATGCAGGCAAGGATGGTGTGTGTGTGTGTGTGTGTGCGCGTGTGCGGGCGTGTGTGGGCGTGTTTGTGTGCACGTATGCACAGGCAGGGACCGTGTGTGTTTGTGTGCGCGCGAGGGCAGGGACTGAGAGTGTGCGCGCGCACGCAGGCAGGAATAGTGTGCGTGTGTACGCAAGCAGGGACTGTGTGTGTGTGTGCACACGCGTGCGCATGCAGGGAGGGACTGTGTACATGCGTGCACGTGCAGGCAGGGACAGCGTGTGTGTGCAGGCAGGGACAGTGTGTGCGTGTTTGTGTGTGCATGCACACAGGCAGGGCCAGTGTGCACGTGCAGGCAGGGATGGTGTGTGTGTGTGCGCGCGCGCGCGCACACATGCACAGGCAGGGACCGTGTGTGTTTGTGTGCGCGCACGCGGGCAGGGACTGAGAGTGTGCGCGCGCACAGGCAGGGATAGCGTGAGTGTGTACGCAAGCAGGGAGAGTGTGTGTTCGCAGGCAGGGACTGTGTGTGTGCATGTGCATGCAGGGAGGGACTGTGTGCATGTGTGCACATGCAGGGAGGGACTGTACGTGCAAGCAGGGACAGTATGTGCAAGTGGGCAGGGACTGTGTGCGCGCATGTGACCGTGCTGTGTGTGTGCGCACGCACAGGGAGGGACAGTGTGTGTGTGCAAGCAGGGACAGTGTGCAGGCAGGCAGGGACTGTGTGTGTGCGTGTACATGCAGCGAAGGACAGTGTGTGTGCATGCAAGCAGGGGCAGTGTATGTGCAGGCAGGCGGGGACTCTGTGTGTGTGTGTGTGTGTGTGTGTGTGTGTGTGTGTGTGTGTGTGTGTGTGTGTGAGTAAGTATTGCAGAACGGGACTCCCTTTAACCTGAAAGGCAAGGGCCTACAGCACCTGTGTGTGTGTGTGTGTGTGTGTGTGTGTGTACACGCACGCGCGCAAGCAGGGATAGTCTATGTGTTAGGGCTGTGCAAAGCTTCAGGTGCTGATTTGATTCGGTGGCCAAATCTCCGAATCCGAATCAAATCAGGGAGCCAATTAAAAGGTCCAAATCAGTTCAAAGTTCTCCAAATCGATTCAGAGAGCTTCAGCGATTCAGGCAGTCCCCGCTGGCTGCAGGAGGGGGGAGGGGACCACGGGGTCACCCCACCAGGCCCCATCCCCTTCTTGCTCCCCAAGCCCTCCTGAATGCCCCCCAACCCCTGCCCGCTCTCCCAGCCCCAGCTCCCAGCCCTTTAAAAAAAGCCCCCCCTCACCAGCTGTTGCCAGGCAGGGGGGCAATTCCCTCTGGCCCCTGCTATCCCATGCCACGTGGGGGGGGCTCTGCCACAAGCCGCGCCCCCCCCAACCGCTGCCTGCTCTCAGAGCCCCTCCCCATGGCTGCCCCACCTGCCTCAGCTCCTAGCCCTTAAAAAACACCAAAAACAAAAATCCTGGTGTCACCAGCTGCTACAGCAGCCTTGGAGTGCTTACAGAAGAGCCCCCCAGTGCAACACAAGGCAGCGGAGATCACCCCCCCCTGCTGGACAGGAGCCGGAGAGTCCAGGGTTTTTGGTTTTTTAAACAGCCAGGTGCTGGGCCAGGCAGGGCAGCCACGTGGGGGCTGGGAGAGCGGGGGGGGGGAGGGCTTGAGCCCTCCACTTGGCATTGGGCTGTGGGAATTGCCCCCCCATCAGGCAGAAGCTGGTGAGTTGGGGCTTTTTTTTTCCTCTCAAAGAGCCAGGACCTGGGGCTAGGCAGGGCTATGAGAGTGGGCGGGGGATGGGGCCTCTGATTCAGAGATTCAGCCAAATCAGATTCGGCCAAATCGAATCGGGGCAGTGATTCGAATCTCCGAATCCAATCCCTGCCACATGCTCTCTCACTTCACACCCACAGCTCCCCACAAACCTGTACCCACCTCCCACAATATACAAGAGTCAGATTTCATTTTAAGCTATTGTGCAATCACCTCTATGTACACTACACAAACACATGTAAATCAGGACAAAAATATTTTTTGAAACCAAGTTAATGAATCCTGTAGACGTTTGTTTTTTAGAACATAATTTGGTATTTTTCTGGTTCCGAGACAGCAAAACCTCTTGCTGAAAGTAGTACTTCTGGGGACAAGGGGAAGGACTTCTAGTGGCAAAGGTCAGGGGTTAGGGGGCAGGACTTCCAGTCATAAGATGGCGACCAGGGGCATCTGTCAAGGGGCAGGGCTACCAATGCAGCCCTCGACAGCTTGCCAAAACTTGGTAAGCGGCCCTCCGCTCAAAATAATTGCCTGACCCTACGCTAAGTATTTAAATTTGGGACTGGTTACTTTTGTGAAAGCAAATATCCAGGAAACCATGCAAATACTTTACTTGCAGTGCAGTTACAGCCAGCCAGGTGCTGCTGTGCTCCTCTTGCCTCCCTCCAGCTGCAGCCACCTGGCTAAAGCTTGCCCCTGGCCCACCCAGAGCAGCAGCAGGGGCAGGAGTGGGAGGAGCAGCCGCTGGGGGCAAGGGAAGCAGAGCTGCCCCAGCCACTGTAGTCGCACTGCGAACAGCCCTGCAGCAAGCTGCACGCTGCCTGGGCCAGTGGGGGTGGGCGGGAGCTCGGCACTGGCTGCCCAGCTGGACTCGGCCCCATGTGGAGCAGGGACAGCCACAGGCTGGACCAGCGCTCCCTCCTGGCCTGGCCTCCCCCTCCCTCCTGCTGGCTCCCAGGCAGCCTCCACTGCAACAAGCGCACATGCCCTCACACACACCCCTGCCACCCCACAGGGCAGGATGGGCAAGGAGTGCATCATGCCTGTCCTGCTCCTCAACACTGCTCCCCTCCCACCTAAACCCCCAGAGGGAGTTTTGGTGAAATGGGGCGGGGGGGCAGGGTCTGGCTGCTAAGTCTG